AAAACATTGCAGGTCTCTTGCAATGAGGCACACTGAGCTCCCAAAAGCTGCCAGATGCACATTTTTCTCACCCCTTCCTAAAATATCACTGTAATTTTAATTTACTCAGATGAATGAGCAGTTGACAAAACAGACATTCATTATCAAATTCATATTAAGAAAAGACACACTTGGGATAATTTTGATTGATTTACTTGGCAGAGTTTTGATAGCTACTGAAAAACATACTATTCATGTTTAGGTGAAAAATAAATGGAGTCAAATAAGTGTCACTGCATAGTACTAGGAGGTATATACAGCCACATGTAAAAATGCATAAACACAAACATTTCTGTACAGCAACTTTTCCTTTCAGTCTGTATAGAGGAACACTGGTTTATAATATGGGGAAAATATAAAGCAGACATACATGCAACAAGGACATGACAGTTACATAGGTCCCACCTGCCTCCCAAGAGTTACGATAATAATAACAATAATAATAATTATAATAATAAAAGCCTTTTTCAGGGAAAAAATTTGAAACCTGGAATGTTTTCATGTTGAGGTTTCCAGAGAGCTTCAGATGTCAAACATATCTGAAGGTGATTTAAAGGCTTGATTCAAAGCCCTGTGAAGGCAATGGAAAGACTCCATTGGTTTCAGTGAGCTTGGGGTCAGGCCCAGCTATTTAACCATGATCCTCTTCTGCCCTCCCCCAAAATCCAAAGTTGAAGTCTGCAGATAAAAATAAACAATCGTATCATACAAAACTTTGTATATAGAATACAAAAGGTAACCATTGACTTTTTGTATAAAATACAACTTTTTGATAGTATATTTATCTCACATATGTATAAATATAACCCAAATAATATGATTTTTATTATTCCTACCAAAATATTATTACTTTTTGGTTTGTTTTTTTTTTACAAAAGTTTACAAAACAAATAATTCTTTATATTTACAACCCAATACTGCGAAGAGTGCCCGGTCAATGATGAAAAATAGACTAAAAGCGTAGTGCACTTAGCCATTGCAAAGAAAGAGAAAAAATACACTAGCTCTGTTCAAATACAAATGCTCTGAAGAAATGATACTGGATTCAAGTTTTGGTTGCAAGAGTCTTTCACAAGCTCACATTTCAAATGCATCAGACATTTCTTTATAGGACTGCAAATGGCCTCTACCTTTGTTGAATTTATTTAAGACACGGTGAAATTTTGATTCTGGGGATGGCACTCATAGCCCAGTGCCTTCTCTGCTCCAGGCTGAGGCCAACAGGACAAAGCCCAGCATTGAATCCATCACCAGATAGCCAAAAGTCTTGGGACCAGCTCCTCAGCTGAACATTTTTTTTATATCATTTGAGGATCTGGAAAACAATCTGCGCTTAATATAGAAACCAGTGGTGGCTTTTTCAATGGCATGTGAGGGTAGTTGATGTTACCAGAGCCCATTGCTCAGAATGATACTAACTCTGCCCCAGCCTTAGAGGCATTGCAGTCCTCTGCTCCTACCAGAGCTTCATCAGCCACTGCTTACCTGCTCACAGACAAGGTGTGTGCCTGTGTGTCAGACAGATGAGCCGATCTTCCCTCCACTTTACACTCATGTGTAAAGCTACTATTTCAGTCTAGTTTTGCCCAATTTATAGGGGACTTATTTGTTAGACCACATCTGTATCTCTCCAAACTTAGGTGGGGCACCAGTGACCTGGGCTGAAAAGCTCTTTAAAGACTTGGAAAAAAAATTTACTGGTATGTCAAAGGGACTGCTTGCACCCCAGCCAAAACTGGGGAGAAGAGGGAGCTTTCTGGGCAGCTGAGCTGCTATGTTACACAACGCAGGAGTGTGCAACAGTCGCTAGCTGAGGCAGAGGAAAGGACTCTTCAGCAGGATTTCTTGTCCCTGTTACGAAAAACATGTCTGGGAATGAGCATCATCATGGACCAGCCCAGCCCAACTGGCACATTTAGCCAAATGCCCATGTTACACCTTTCCTGGAGGTGGTGGTGCTCATTTGTGTGACGATGCTTCTTGAAAAATCATGAAAAATTGTGCCCACATGAAATGACTGGAAAAGCCTTATTAAAACCTCTCTTGAGAAATAGGTCAGATAAGTGCAGAGGCTATTGTCAAGTAGTCTACTCATCCCACTGCCACTAACAAGGATGAATAAAGCACTTGCACGGAGCAGAGCAATGCCTCTTGGCACTGAGGCATGTGAATGTAGGCATTGTATTCCTTTGCCACATCTGGTTTTAGCTAATTTAGAGGAGGCTGTGAAACACGTCTCACCACATCATTTTAAAGAACAACATTTTAATTTGAATTGCAAGATCTGTTCCCATCCATGAATTCTCCAGTCTAACTCACTTGCAGAGTTGCTTTATAGTGGCATAGCACCTCCTTCTGATGCCCTTACTGACCAAGTCTACAGGAGAAAATTTAACATGGTCGAGACTATTCCCTGGCACCACAGTCAAGCAGTGTGGAACAACCTCCATCCTTGCTGCTCTGCTCTGTTAGCCTCCAAGGCAAGGTGGCTGCAGACTGTCTATGGGAAAGGTCCTTGCCCTAGGTTAACTCCCTAGTGATACGCAGAAATTGCTCAGGGCAGTGTTAGCTGGGCCACCCCCAAACCCAGAACAGATGATTGAGTCCAGTGCCCAGAAATAGTCCCCCAAACTGTTTCATGTACAAGCACAGATGTGGCTGAGTGAAGCCTTCTACTGTGAGTAGCCCAGGTGGTTATAACTGATCTGTGTGCTAGTTTCAGGGGAAGAGCCTCTTGTACTCTGCCCGGCAGTGGCTGTGGGAACCTGGGCCATCACTGGACTTCTTTCAGCTCCTCCCATATGGCAAAGCAGGATGGAGCCAAAATGCTCTGCAATCAAAACAGCAGCCTCTCCCTAGACATAGGCTGGCATTTCTGCTGGGTTAAATCTGTTTGATAGAAGAGGACTGGGCTGAACTACCCGACACTCACCATGGGTTAAGGTGAAAATGAGGATTGTGTCTTGGCTGAGCCACTTCATGCATTTACCCTCCTCTAAGTTGGACTGAGAAAGTAGTCAGTGAGGGTCAGATCTTGAGCACCTTTCTCACTTACGTTGTCCTTTAATTCAGTGGAGTCCCTGGGGTAGGGCAAGGTGGCAAAGTGAGGCTCCTGAGCTTTGGTATAGTTCATCTTATGTTTCCCTCAATGCCCAAAATGATTGTGCTGCTGGCAGGACAGCAGCCTCCTCTGACACCTACTGCAAGTGCTGATGAAAGGGAGAAGGCAAACACTAGAGCACACCACATTATACACTGGATGATTTGTTCCTTTCTTCCCTTGGATGGGACCACTTACCCTTCTGTGTGCTACAAAATATAGAGTGTTTAAACCAAAATTGTCAGGAAAGCAAATGTGAGTTTGTATTGTGTAGAAGTAAACAGTTTTTGTAATGCAATGAGATTTACAAAGGGCCTGATGCTGTCAGGGCTGAGTAGTCCCAAGGAAGTTAAGGGCTGCGAATATGATGACTGAAGTGCTCTGGACCGCTTGGGCTCTTACTTGCACTCAGAGAAATTATGTTCCACAACCACTGTCTGGTGCTTGCATGTGTGGGAAGCTAAACACACTTTTCCATGCAGCCCCCATGAGAAGAACTGTTGGGTTTGCAATGCGTTGGGCACCGGTGAGGGGAACAGACCCTTCACACATTCTCACTCCTTTGTGACAGGTGTGAATATCACTTATGTTATTGTTTCATTGGGGGAGACTTCAATTTTGTTCCTAGAGCAACTCTTCAAACAGGGCAGTCGCCCTACGTGGTATTTTAAAGGACAGCCCAGTTACTGGAGTGTAAATTAATAAAGCAGGTTGTTGGCATCTAAAGAGAAAGCTAATGTCCTTCCTGCCTCTTCATCTGGTTCACCCTTGGTACTGTCACTTACGAGTGGTTCCCCAAAATTTCATCAAGGTTGATGTCTTTCATCCAGTCATCGTTACCAGGTTCCGTTTTCAGTAAAGAATCTATAAAGTCTGAGTCACTGTTGAGCGCAGGTCCTATACTGTCACCTTGCTGGTTCAGAAAGTCAAACGCTAGGTCATTACCATGGTCACTTCCTTGGTAAGCCCGAGAGTTTTGGTTGGTAGATGTGAAACTAGTTGATGTCAGAGATGATGGAGGTGTCATACTTGTGCCTGGTTGATTCAAGGTAGGCACAGTCTGTCCTCTCAGCTGGTTAGGTCTTATGCTGAGACCTCGTAGAGAGCCAGCAGATTGTCCATTTAGAGTCTGGTGCATTTGGTTTGGAGGAGGCCTCATTTGGACTCCCGCTGTTAACTGGTTAGGAGGAGCCAAAGCACGCTGAGGAAAATGCTGGTTGCTTACACTGCGTTGCAAAGACTGGTTAGGATATGGAGTGCTGGTGGGGAAACGCACCCCTGCGGGTTTCAGTGCATCCTGCTGCTTCACTGCAGCTTCTTGCGGGGCCCAGTTCTGGGCCGTGGCAGTAGCCGTGATCATCACGTTGGCCGGCCTTTGTGCAGGGATACCTGTGGCTCCATGGTTCAAGCTTGGCCTTACTTGCTGCGAGTTGACCACCGATCCCGTCCCAAAAGCCGCTATGTTGTTTCCCTGTGTCATGGTTTGCTGTCGAGACATCATGGGGTTATTCTGACTGGGCAGGACTTGATTTTGGTTTCTGTGCGGCTGCATTTGGTTCATTCCTGAAGCCACGTTGTATGTGCTTGGTTGGTTGCAGGGAAGGTTCCCGTAGCAGCCCATACTCCGAGTGGCAGGAACGGAAGGCATTCGGGTCCCAGAAGGGGTGGACATGAGGCTGGAGCTCTGGGACATGATGCTATGAGTTGAAATTGGGTTGGATAAGGACATGTTGGAGCTCATACTCACAGCTGGTGAACCACCTGGAAAGGAGAAAACAAAAGTGTTAAAACAAACACAAGTGCCTCAATGCATGGTGTCATTCAAATACCAACAGGCTAAAAATACAGTTTTCTAGCAGTTGAATTCTAGAAGATATTTTGCTCTTAAGAGGACTTGCATGAACTTGCTCAAGGCCTTTAAGGTGTCTATCATCCAAAGGGTGATTTGGTCTATATGAAGCCATTGGTGGTCTTTCCATGCCTTCAGAGGACATCAGATATGCCAAAACTAGTGCTCATTGTAAGAGAAATATTGTAGCAGGGAAGGACGAACAGAACCACTGGGCATGAGAGAACACTTTTCCGCCTTTTTTTTACAGAAGCAGTAGACACCTCAGACAGGACAAAGTCTGTCTAAGCAAGCAGAGGCAGAGGAGATCAAGAACTTTTCTTCTGTACAGGGCATGGCTCATCCTGGCTCCCTCTAGAGACAATGGGGAGTGATAGGCACCATCATCAGGCCCCTTTTCCACCTTTCTTAGACACCTACAGCAGTGGTATCTATTCCTTCGGGAAAGACCTATCCCAGGTGGCAGCAGGAGCCAAGACTGCATCTCACACATTTGCAGTGCTCGGAGTCTCCCTTCCAGACAGGTGCTGGGAGAGCAACTCAGCCCAGCCTGGGACCTGCTTGACCTCTGGCGTGGCAGCCAAGCAGGTACAAGGACATGGCTCGGTGCTGTGCCTGGTGAGTGCCACCCGTGTCCCCCTTCTGAGCTCTATTCCCAGCTGGGCTACAGCCATTTGCCCTTGCAGAAGCTGACTTGCCCATGAGGGAACCACACATGATACCTGATGTGCAGGCACTTGCTCCACATAAACATCACCTTCTGTGCATCAGAAAACTAGAAGTTATGAGTTGGCACAAATCTACCATTTGTGGCTAATTCTGCCCAGTGGAGGATTTTTCTCTGTCTGACATCTGCAATGAAACACAAGAAGAGAGGTTTCTCTTCTCCTCAGCCTCCAAACCTCAGCACAAGCTCACTTCTGTGGCAGATTTGTGGCTACATAGTCTATTTTGAGGCCACAAGAAGTAATTCATGCAATGTAGGCTGACTGCTTATGCAGTGCAAGGCTCTGAATTAATCCGTGAGAGATTGGCTGAAGAAGACCAAACGTTTTCTAAACACAGCCAGTGTAGATGTCACTGTGGAGAACACACCTCTGCACACAATCATCTGCTCCACAGCTTAATTCCCTTTGCTACTGTTGCTTCCAGTACAAGGCCTACAAGAAGTGCAGCCAGGAGAAGTCAGGTTCAAGGGGAAAAAAAAAAAGGAGATGTTTCTTCACACAACATGTGGGTCAGATGAGGAAATCTTTGCCACATGGCACAGTGCAAGCTAAATTCTTGTACAACTTTGGGAGCCACCCATGTTGAATGGGCTGGCAACCAATGTACCACCACATTTTGGGAATTCCCTGAGCCCGCCCTGGAGCTTTGCTATTTCATAGATAGCAACCAGTGGCAATTGTTGGACGTGGGACGCCACCTTGGTTTGATCCTTCATACACACAACAAAACTAGACTGAATGTAAATAACTTTGACTTCATCATCAAATCTTATTATATATTAGTCTCTGTGACTAATGTTATTAATTAATCACAGAATCACAGAATGTTGGGGATTGGAAGGGACCTCAAAAGATCATCTAGTCCAACCCCCCTGCCAGAGCAGGAACCTAAACGAAATTACACAGGAAGGCGTCCAGGCGGGTCTTGAATGTCTCCAGAGAAGGAGACTCCACAACCTCCCTGGGCAGCCTGTAATTGGTCCATTGTCACTTCCTTCTTACTGCACATGTGCTTCAAGACTGCGATCATGCCTGCAGCATTCTCCAAATTCGTCACAGTATGTGGCATGTTTTCTAGTCCTTTGGTCCTTCTAAGCTCTTTCCAGAACTTGAGGGTTTTCAGCATTGGATTTCAAGGCTGTACATCACAGGCAGTCACAATAAGAGCTCTTGCACATCTCCAGCACGGGTGTAAAGCTCCTTTTTTCTCATTCAGCATAATCTCAGACTGTGTTTGTCCTTTCAGTTGCAATCACATAGCCTGTTTGCAGTGATATCTAGAGACCTATCAGCCACTTCCTTACGTGCTATGTTAATTTTGTATCACTCTGTTTTTTTAGCCAAAATAGGCAGTATGAAGTCAGAGCCTTTAAAGAACATTAACTGAATAACTATTACCTTTATCAACCAAAGTTGTGTTTTCAGTGCTAGTTTGAAAAGATTCTTTTACATCAGCCCATGTTACCTGAAATTAATTATATTCACTTCCTAAATTCTTTATTATTCAGGCTGTATCAGCTCCCTGGTATTTTTGCTGAGCTCTGCACTAGGTCTGCAATTATCTACTTACTGTTTTAATTTTTGTCATGGCATTAGTAGTCTTCACTTGGAGTTTCAAGACTAAATAAAAAATGACATTAAGGATTTGGAGCACCTCTCAGCCAGCTCTTTTAAAACTCTTGAAGACACATCATGCGCATACATATTTTAAAAGTCTATGTTTAGGAACAGCTGTTTAATATACTGTTCTTGTTGAAATTTCACCATAATGATGTTCAGTTCCCTCAGACTGGAATTGAAGAAAAAATTATCATATATTCCTGGCTTTTCTGCTTCATTTTATACATATGCTATTTCCATTTAGTGATGGATGCAAAGGATTCCTTTTTTCTCTAAATACTTAAAAATAATCTCTTTCCAAATCATTGTTAACACTGAATGTGACTCCACAACCAGAGTTGCTTATCATTATAAACATAGATACCTAAATTGAGAAGCTCACTTTATCCTGGAAGGCAGGCTTGTCCACAAACTGGCTCTAAGCAGGAGACACTTGACCATAGAGAATCTAATTGTCCTAACAATTCCATTGCCCGAACTTAAGCACCTAAATTTCGTCCCTGAACTGGGCAGTCCCTGGGACAGGAGATGCTATGAGGAGTCCACCTGGTTTTAGCCCCACAGGGACAATCCTGTTCTCTCCATATCCATCCAGTGAGCCACCTAACTGAATTTAGCTCTGGAAACAAAGAGGAGAAAATCAGTGCTCAGCAGGCAGCCTCACAATTAGCCCTGTCTTTGGCTTTGCTGGTGGGTTGTGCATTGCTCACTGCTTTTTGGAAAGACTGTAACATCTTTTTGCAGGGGTGACAGAGATGGGGACCCTGATTCTTTGCTGCCTTATGCCAGTACGGAAGAGGAGGAACGGTGCAGAAATCAGTGGCATTTCAAAAGACCTGGAACAGCCATCTGGGGAGAGCTGCTTCTCCCCTCCAGCTGAACTACAGGTTTGTGGAATCACTTCACTTGCTGCTGGGATGAAGCCCCCCCTGGGGTGACCCTGCCAGCTGTTGAGCAGCCCCCAGGGCTACCATCACACTGCTCCTGCAAATGCCACACTCTTTAAAGAGCACAAGTGGTTGGGACATGGGTTGTACTTGTTGTGCAAAAGATGAAGCTTCCTCTTTCTTTGTATTGCTATTTTTATCCTTTTATTTTTAACGCAAATATTTTCCATTCTGATTTCTTCCAGATGGGAAGAAATGTCTTCCCCAGCAGCACTGTGGAGGGCAGCTGGGCACCCCAGGCTGCAACAATTCAGAGGAACTCCTTCACTGCCTCATTCACCTGCTCTTCTCTTGGGGGTTTCTTGCCGTGACATGGTACTATGGGGAAAAGCATAGAGGAATAAAATGCTTAACTATGTGTCTCCAAGTCCCTATGTTATTTTTTTTTAACTTTTTGTCTCTTCTTCCCTGACCTGAGCAAAGTTTTTCCCAGAAAAAGGGAACAGATTTCCTGCTGTTACTCCCTTATGCAAGAGTTTCCTCATCGCTCCATCTGGTAGCTTTGCTGCGAGCTCCCAGCAGAGCCCTTTCTCCCGGGCTCGCCTGAAAAGCTGCTCTCCTCCCTGGACTCACTCAGCGGGGACTTGAGCTTTGAATGGACAAGTGCTGCCAATCCCACATGTTTCAAAACCAGGAGATGGGACTCCAAATACCACGAGATTGGCAAGGACTCCATCAGATTAAGAAGAAGAGCCACATAACAACGGTGATCTACTTATTTTGGAGCCTTTCACAGATGTGGCTGCAGTCATTTCCATTTTCTTTCTCAGGCTAGAAATGGATTGTTTTTAAGTAAAAGCCAAGAATCTCAGTTAATCATTTGATTCCAGGAATGAGCCTTTAAACAACACATCAAATCACAGGACTCCCCAGAAAACTGCTGGAGTTGCCAAAGCACTTGTTTTACGAGCGCAGGAGGTACCAAGGCAGTAAACAACACTCTCTCTGCCCTATGGCATTGCCCTCACCACGGGTTATTACGCTGGCATCACTGATGCTTGTGCAAATTTTACTGAAGATGATAAACACTCAGGCCCGTTGGAAAGCAGCAGTTTCCAGACTGCAGCAAGTTTATCGCTGCTAGAACTTGTAAACAAAACAAAGGAGTGCATGGACTGAGCAGTCCAGCTTCGCCTTTCCATGCGTAGCTGGGCTGTCGGTGCCATGGCCAGCAGGTTGGGCAGAGACGTGACATGTGAGCGAGCTGCATTTGAGAACTCGTTAAAGAAAAAATAATCATAAAATCATCTGAAAAACTTTTGCTTCAAAAGACAGGTAGGAAGGAAAGACTCAGATCCCTGGTTGAATCTGCAGAGCCAACAGTTATATAAAAACAAATTAACCAAAACATCGTGTTTTTCCCTCAGTGTTATATACAAAGATGTACTAGAAGGCAAAGGATCCTTTTTATACTGAAATGCACAGATGCTTTGCGGTGTAAAGAACATCCTTTGATCCCATCTGCTGCATCTCCCCCCACCTCTTCACTCTCCCCAGCATTTTTTCCTTACTCTGCCTTTGCTCTCAGAGCAGCCTCCAGCTAACCAGCAAAGTGAACAGCATGAAAAGCCCAACAGGCAGTCCCGTGCTCCCAAAACTAGACTCTCCAAGGTCTCAAGAGCTGAAAGCAAGGACTACTCCTGAAGTGTTGGATGTTTTCTGCCCTGGGCAATTCTGGCACAAAGTAGGGGCTTTTACCCTATTGTCTGACTGATCTGTTGAAATGCTACTTGTAGAGCAGCAGTGAGGCTGTGACTGTGGCCCATTCAATAGACGGAAAGTTCACGAGGTAGCTCTGATTGCACATGACGGTGTCATGCAAGGTACTTAAAAATCAGTATGAGGGTCCTCACACAGTACAAGACCTGCCGTTCAAAGAGAGGGATGGTTCTCATATCAGACTCTGAAGAACATGAAGGAAGTATCTAGATGGAGTACAGTTGCATAGTCAAGAGGACACCTCTGTATCAAGTATTTGGGTGCATATCTGCCCCCAGGCAGTGCTATTGAGAGGGGTACCAGCCCCTCCTTCCCCATGTCTGAGAGATACAGCATCAGCCTGGATGAACCAAGAGCTGCTTCTCCAGATCATACATCAGCACTTTTCAGTGCTGGTGGACAGTAAAGAGCACAGGAGAGCAGCAGCCACCACCCACTGCCTCTGTAGTGATGTAGGTGGATACCCAGAAAATCAGGCTCCAGCCATCAATGAATGTGTGGCTCTTCTGGATGGTCTCCCTGCTGGAAGGAAGGAAGGAAACAGTTTAATTTCGCCCATGGGCACTTACCAGGATATTGGTTTGCTTGTTGCATGTTGACCACATTTCTTCTTTGGTCTTTATAATCTGGTGGTGGTCGTGTCAAGTGTCTGTTCAGCTGATCTTGTGGAGTTATTTTCTCCTAGAGGATTAGAATAGAAATACATTAATTTGCTTTTCTTTATAGTTTTCTGGCTTTGTGTTTTGCCCACCTCTTTCTTTCCTCAGTATGTAAAAAGCTGAAGTGTTCTTTCCTTTCACCCCATGTGGTCGACAGGAGAGGGATCTGTGAACCTGTGCCATCACCTGCTGAAGTCTGTATGGAAACCTTTCTGCTACTTGTATTGTGTTTGTGTCTGGTCTAACTTTCCTTAAAACCACCAAGAGTTTCTCAGCCTCTGAGAACATTGGACACCTTTGCACTGCAGTACAAAGTGTCCTCCAACATCTGCACTGTCTTGCTCACCATGCTTATCAGACAGAGGGGCCTGATGGTTCCTCATGGCTCCTTCCCTGTCTGTGCTGCTGGGTCTGCTTTCAGAGAAAGCACAGAGACAGAGCAAACATCCAGGTCTAACTTAAACACACAGCCAGGAAGCAGCTGGAGAGCAATGACGGTCCAGACCTGCAAGATCCACACTTGCCCCTTGGCTGAGTCAATGTTCATCAACCCATTTCACCCACGCTGACGTGTCAGCATGCACAGCTGGCAAAGAGCATTTCACCTTGTCATTAAACATGCTCTGTCCCAACCATCTCCATCCCTCACTCTCTGCTTCCTCCTGCACTGGAGGAGCTCACACAAAAACCAGCAAATCCCATTGCTTTATCCTCCCTTGCACCAGGGATGCCAGCAGGAGACACGGCCAGGGTTTATCAAGGACAGTGCTGGGCCATTTGGTTTTCATGCTGCTCACCTTGCCCCGTGCTTCTCTGTACACGTACATGGTACTGTCTTTCCTCTTACACTGGGAGTGCAACCACTGGGCAAGGACAGCGGTGAGATTGCAGAAAAATTCGATTAGTAGAAGAGATTTTTTAAATTTATTTTGGGCCTGCAGGGACACATCTCTGCTGAAGGGAAGGTAGAAATCCAAGTTCTTGAAGGTCTCCATGTGTTCATTAAGACCTGGAAAGTGCAGGCACGGGCATCAGGGGCTAACCTATCATCAGCATCACTGTGACTTGATGGCTTTAAAATGGAACTGTGACTTTAATGGCTTTAAACTGGAAGAGGGCTGATTTAGATGAGACAGGAGGAAGAAATTTTTTACTGTGAGAGTGGCCAGACACTGGAACAGGTTACCCAGAGAAGCTGTGGATGTCCCCTCCCTGGAAGTGTTCAGGGCCAGATTGGATGAGGCTTTGAGCAACCTGGTGTAGTGGAAGGTGTCCCTGCTGATGGCCGGGGGGTTGGAACTGGATGATCTTTAAGGTCCCTTCCAACTCAAACCATTCTGTGATTCTGTGATTCTGTGATGTCTCTAGAGTGTTACTGCCTGCCCACAAGCAACAACTCGGGATGTGTGGCCCCATAGCAGGAAAACATGAGTTTGACGACCTCAGTCACTGGTAAGTCATTGCTGATGCACACATGCCTCCCAGGGTCATGCTTACTGGGCAGCTTCACCCCTTCTCTGAAATGTGCCTGGGTTTCATGCTCAGCTGCCAGAATGGCAAACCAGCTCATCAATGTGAAAGAGTCAGGCCTGGACTGGTGATGGATGTCCATCAGAGTAATTAGGGGATCTTCTGCCTGAAAAGAGCACGCAAATGGACCTTCTTTTGAAAATCTGTTTTTGGTTCTGCCAGGAGCACTTTTAAACACTGAGAGAAGTGCCTTTCTTGTGGTATTTAGGCATTTCCATAATGCACTCTGGGAGTGAGTTGTCTGATTAAGATTTATAAGGCTCTTTTTAACATACCGCTCGACCTGAACCCTTGTGAAGAAGAAAGAAAAGTTCTCTGCCAGGAAATCCCTGCGATACATGTAAAAACTGCAGGCACGCTTTGTGTGTATTTCTATGTACATGGTACAAAAGCAAAGGCAAGCTGATAAAAAAATGCATTCTGTAGTATGATTTTAATTTTTAGTTTACTTATTTTTAAGAAGAGCTATTTGAGCAATTAAAATTTTATTCTGCTAAAAACTCTTGACAGAAAACTGCAGCACGTAGAGCTGGCTTGAAACTTCAGTTTTCTTCTGCATAAATTAAAAAGTCAACAAATATTTCCCTTGTAGGAAAAAAGAAGTCCTTAATTTCAAACTGAAGCTTTCTAATTGTATTTTTGGAATAGAAATGAATTTGCAAACAAAAAGATATTCTCTATAAAAAACTGAATCATTTCTGTTTTGAAAGCATCCACAAAAACATGAATGTTTTTCGACTTCTGTGGTGTTCTTTAATTACTGAATGGTATTCACTAAGTGTGTCAGTACTTCTAAGTCTACTTCTTTATATAGAAAAGAAAGTTTTGTATTCAAAATGTCAGGCCAGCACAAATGGGTCTTCCCCATAGGCTGTCCTGAGAGACATGTAGGTTGAGGTAAATAAGCCATAAATTTGGGGTCTGCTGGCATTGCAGCCTGGGGGAAGCAAAGCAGGTGGTGGTGTCACCTCCATCCTTCCCCAGCATCCTCCCTGCAGCCCTACCCTAGTCGCTGCAGGTCACCCACGTTGCTTTCTGCCTGCCCCAAGGACATGCCAAGCTCAGCTCCTCTTCTAGGACTTCTCCCTGCTCTGTGCTTTGGGAATCAGGACTACCAAGGAGTGGTGAATATAAAGATGCAGAGGGCATGTGCTGCTGCTCTGGACAGCTGGGATTCCCTCCTGTTGCACTGGCCGTGGGTGATGGGCAATGAAGCACCTTCAGCTGACTCAGTTAAAGCAATATCAATGGCAATGCCAGTTTAGTGGACCAAAATAAGTGGGTTATAGCACTTATCACCACCAACAAGACCACAGATATCCCCCGTGCCTCATGAAATAACCAGAAACTCCCAACTGGTCTCTCAGATACCAAGGGAGAGAGAAGAACTGGCTACAAATAGCTGGAAATGCAAAATGAAAAACAGAGAAAGGAGGACTCATGTATGATCGCAGCCAAGCACACAAACTTGTGTTGAACACTAAAATCGATGTACCTGATCCTTGTTTACACACAGGCAATTTACACCATGCTGCCTAGATTGTAGAGCCTGGAAGTCAGCTTTCCTCAGTGGTCAAAGTAGCGTAGCAGTGCACCTTAGCTTATCTTGCAAAGAAAACCACTGACAATATTCATATGCCTCAAATTAAGCATATGCTTAGACTGTTCTCATAATGAAAGCACAGTAGCCTGGATACTTGAGTTGTTTCATATAAACTGAAGAAGGTTTCAAAACGGCTTAGCAAAGTGCTGAAAAATAAGAGGCACACTCTAGAAGGTCTTGGCATTGCCAAAATGACCTCAAAGTTTTGGGGGCTTTCTTCTCCCTCTCTTAGCTTTCTTTTCTATTGTTTCTATGATAATATTTTCCATATAAAATAAGGAATTAGAAAACTTACTGCTTCTGCCAACATCTGCTGCTGTAGAAGGAGTTGTTTTTGCTCCATCATTTGCCGTTGCAGAGCCTGCTTCTTTTCCATCAGTTGCTGATTCAACATTGATTGCTGGGATGAGTTCATGTAACCACTTCCAGTGTTTGGATTTGAGCAAGAACTGGAGCTTGGAGTGGGGCCAGCTCCCTGGCCTACCACAGAGTGTTGATCCTGAAACAGAAGAAATGGTTCGTGAAGGAGGAAAATAACAAGCATCAAGAAAAGGAAATAATCCTTTTTATGAAATTAGCTCAAGTACGGGACACAGCCCACAGACTCTAAGGACAAGTGACCGACACAAAGGCTTTGACAAAACAAGAAAGGAATTGAGTAACTTCATCGCTCATGGAAGACTCTGAAAACGTGCCAGGTGGTTCCAGTGGAAAACCTCAGTGTTGTACCAGGAGCTTGGGAAATGGTAACAGAAGTAACGGAGCCGTCCTGGGGATCTTTCAGGAAACTTGCATTGGGCCATAGAGCAAATTGTTTGACCACAAGGGAACAAAGTTGGTGTCTGCTGGTTCCTACCATCTGGCAAGCAGCAGGCGGAAGTTAAAGACTCAGTGCTAGAAGTGGTGTCTACTCTTAGAGAATACAGAAGCGATTGTTACTTTGCAGTGAGGTGAGTGGTGCCGCTTTCATTTGTCCTGTCACCTCCCTGACAAGAGTAGTCTCTGAGAGATTGCTGATTAGCGGCAGGATTAAATAGACTTAGAGTTTATCAACTTCCTTGGTGTAACTTCCAAATGTGTAACTGGATAGAACTTTGAAGAGCGCTTCAGAATCACCCTGGTCTTTGCGATGGATGTAGATCTGCTTCCTCTTCCCTGTGTGCAGCTTCATGAGGAAGGGATGGCAAAAAGTCATCTCAGAAGGCAATGGGAAAGGTACCGGGGGACTCAAACCGTAAACATACAGAATGAGAATGAACGTGGGATGACAATATGCTGCTTGTTTTCTTTTAGCCATGGTTTCCCTTGCCAGCAATATGTTTTCTATCCTATCTACTTGCTCCACCAGTGTTTGGTACTTGGGCGTTTACCAAATGTAGGAAATAGCTTTCTCAGTCCACACGCAAAAATATTCATCCTATGTTGGATCACTTGATTGTCAGGTATTCCTTAGCTGCCTAACTACAAAGAAAATAGGATACACTGGAGAAGTCACAACAGTCATGAGAAACATCAGTTCTCTAACTCCACTTTGTTGCAGTTCACCAGGAACCTAACCACATCATCCCGTATAACTAATACGCAGCAACATTTTTGCTCCACGACAATGGAATCCATGGCTGGAGTTTGATGCTCCCTGTTATGCAGTGGTTCTCTCAATACCAAGGTGTAGTGCCAGGCTCTGGTGTACTAGTTAGGTAAAGCTCTGCTCCATGGCCATTGCCTCCCATGGCATCCAGGGAAACACGGGCTGACCAACAGTGAAACAAGGACTGGCCAGGCATAGCCTACCCATGCCTTGAAGACCATGGAGCGCTGATGCTCATCACTTTGCAAACTCCAGGAAAGCTCATTTATGTGCCTTAGCTTTTGCAAACTCCCCCCTCCTCCACAATAACACACACACACTACAGAGTAATCCAACTTATCTTTCTACCATCTGCCATGGAAGAAACACAGTGATTGTTATGGGTATTTCCATTTAAAAATAATTCTGTGGCTTTTAGATGGGGCCACATGAGTGTGTAGCTAGCTAGATAAAGTATTTGACATCTCTTACTGAAATAAAAAACATGACTTTCTTCTGGAGCCACGTGCAGCCCCCAAGGCAGTATTACAAACCCCCTCTTCAAAATTTATTGGGCTCTTACACAATTATATCCCGCACACTTTCTTTCAGTTCCAGAAGGAATCCAGGATTGCTCGGCACTGCCACATTTTTCAGCCCTTATGTTAACTGCAAGATAGAAGATACCTCCTCTCGACAGACCTGCTTGCCAAGTTGTTGCGCAAACTTTTTTGTCTTTCTTAAAATATTTTGAAAAGAAAAATATGTTACAATAAATGGGCTTTGACTTCTATATTCAAATGACAACTCTAGCTTGAACCCAGCCACATGTTACATCCATTAATAGAATTCATCTGTTGTGTTTTTGCACAGATAATGCAGGCTCCCCTAAATGTGCTTTCATAGTCTTGCATTAAAAAAAACAAACAAACAACAAAGTTCAACCTTTTCTCTCCCTCATCCCCTGCCAGCCCATAGAAGCTGTGGGGAGGGATTTTGTTTTGTGATAAGCTGTGTAGTGTCCATTCACGATACCTATCAAAGAAAGCTCTTCTGTAATAGCAATTGGCACAAATCACCAGCTGCTTGGCAAACAGGTCCTGAGAAAATGGTATAAATCATCAACTTGGAGCCAGTTTGGGGTTTTTTGGGGTTTTTTTTTTTGCATTTGGTCCTTTCTCTGCTGTTCATGAAATGTCAGTGTGAGCCTATGAATCTACGATGTGTTACTTCTCCTGCCTGCTGATCTTCCAGCGGCAGCGATGCAATGGGAGAAGGAAAAACAGTTTCCTAATAAATCAGAGGATTAGCTGCACGGCAGTTTGAACCTTCGTGAACTGGTGCTATCGAGCCCTGTGCTCACCCTGTGCTTGTATCACTGCAAATCAGAAGGCAGAAGGAATACACCACTGCTGGGGACGTGGGGCTCTGCCCCTGGGCTCAGACAATGGACGCTTTCTGACATCCCTCCCAAGGAAGGGCAGATCTGGGCTATAGCTGCCCTGCTTTCATTGAACTGTTTCATTCTGCTCTAAGCCTGGTCTTACTGCAGCAGCTTTACTACAGCTCCACACATCTAAAGCTGTCAGTGGCCTTTTGAACTTCATTCCTGGGTTCTCATGCCTGTGGTTCATGCACTTTTAACTTTAGAAACCTGTGACTGAAGAAAGCCCAGAGCAGGACATCTGTGTCCCCTCGCCCAGGGGTGCCTGCCCAGCAGGCTGCAGAGGCAGCCCAGCATCCGTCCAGCCAGGGAGCCCCATGTGCTTGTCTGCATGGTGACACCATGTTGTGTCCCTGCATGGTGAAGGCAACCTTCTTCCTGCTCTGCCTCCAAAGAGGTGACATGACCAGGAGCACATTCCTGCAGCCAAAGGCTGAGCTAGTGTTCCAAGCACAACAAAGCCCATATGATCTGCTGGTGCCAAAACTCCAGCACAGCGATGCTCTAGGTGCAAAGAGCTCTAGGTGCGCCTGTGGGCACCCTGTTCTCTGATGTTAGTGAGATATAAAACCTACCAGAAGCAGGAAGAGAGGCAGAGGCAGTGAAAGCTCCTCAGAGCTGGTAGCACAACTAGGGTTTGGTTCATAAGCATCACAAAGAACATTATGCTTGAATGTTTAAATTAACAGTAAATCAAAACATTTAAGACTGAGTTTGCCTTTCACTATCCCTGCTGCAGCTGAGTTGTGTTCATACAAATGGAGGTTTTGGCTTCTAACAAACATACGGACTTTCTAAAATAGACTTGGCCTCTCTTCTCTCTTCTCTTCTCTTCTCTTCTCTTCTCTTCTCTTCTCTTCTCTTCTCTTCTCTTCTCTTCTCTTCTCTTCTCTTCTCTTCTCCTCGCCTCTCCTCCCCTCTCCTCTCCTCTCCTCTCCTCTCCTCGCACACTAAGCACTGGGAGGAGGAGACAGAGGAAGAGGAGCAAGAGAAGTACTCCAAGGAATGGCTCACTGAAGTCCTGCTACACCATTCCAGGGTGGTGCAAGGCTGGTGGCAAAGCACGGACCCCCTGTGACCCCCTGGTGTGAACCTCCATCACCTCAGCTGGCAGGCTCCTTTCCACAGCCAGAAAATGGGGTTCTCCAGCAGGCCCTGCGGCAAAGCACGGGGCAGTACCAGGCTTGTTCAGAAGAGCCGATCTCGTTCATGCAACCTTAGGAAGCCAAGTACAGGGTGCTCTGTTGAACAGCTGGTCTCAGCACCTGCCATCCCCCTTCTGAGCCACCTCTTTTCTGCTACATCTAATGCAAGCAGAAACACCCCTTTCTGCTAAATACTGGGTTTTCCATGGACATCTGGATTCCAAGCACTGCCTGCTTGTGTCCTTGACTCAGACAAGAAAACAAAACTACAGCAGGACCATGGCAGAGTGCCTGTAGAATAAGAACTCTTTTAGTTACAATGAAAAAGCTGAAGGGTTTCCTTATTTTTAGGAATAACTCCCACTGTTGCCTGGAGCGCAGAGGGCTGCTTTCTGTGCCAGTGTACACTGCGAGAGCCCCAAGTAGTTCCTGAGGTTACACTGATTTGCAACAGCTGAGGATCTGATCTATGTATCAGGGCTGGAAATAACACAGACTGGACAGGAACACAGCCAGCCCGATTCTCCTTGCCTTATTGCTTGTTCCTGAGCACCTGAAACTCATTCAACTTTTTTTCATATCCAGAACATACAGCATAAAAGTGAGTCTCCTCAAATTTTAGGTTTCTAACGGAAAACTTAGATCAGATTCTCTCTAAAGTGCCTGCTGAAGCTCTCCTTTCACTATACAGAGGGATGGGGCTGTATAATTAGGCTCTAGATACCCAATTTAGACAACTAAGTTAGGGACCCAGATTAGATGATAGAAACATTCCCTTACACTCCCCATTTTAGATGCTTCCAGGCACACTTAAGTAAGATGCCTGGAAGAGTGAGTGTGAACACCCCTTGATCTGCCAAGTATTAGTGGATCACTTTCTAAGAGTGTGGTACAGAGTGACCGAAAAGCCTCTCAAGTTAGTCATGCAGAAGATACTGTTATAGGTTGACTATCTCCTAACACCCTGCCGGAGAGTATTTTTATGCATTCCAGCGAGATCACTTTCATATGTATAAACAGCATTTGAAAAACCTGAATATTGCAAGATCCCAGGACCTGGTTATGCTGTGTCTAATATGCAGAGCTACAGCTGGGTAAAGACTGCAAAGTATTTCCCTTCAATAATTTTGTAGAGTGCTTATAAACAGTTGGTTCAGCCACTTGGGACTATCTTCTGTGTTTTTCTCCTGTGAAGATCTAAGCTCTCAGGACAAAAATTTCAGGGTTAACCATATTTCCGAGGCACATATACACACAAGGAATCATGGACACCAGCATTTGCAATTTCACAAGCCCAGGCTGTCTGCCAGAAATACCTGTGCTGTCATCCAACTGAAGAAAAG